TTTTTACATAAGACAAAAAGTTTTTGGTTCAGAAAAGAATTGAGCACATGGAAAAAGTAAGAAAACAGTGTTCTTAGAAGCACTAGCTAAGAAAATTGGCTTCAGCAGTGGAGGGAGGCCAAAACTTTTTGATATAAATTGTAATATTTTTGCTACCTAAAGTGATTTTACAGAGCCGATTTGGCTCACTAAAATGCAGAACGGATTGAGTGAAGACATGAAAATAAATCTCACATCCAAAGAGGCAACTTAAAAGAGTTTTAAAGGAGAAACCATGAAGATGTAGCAGTGGGGGAGGCCTTAGAATCCTTCAGCTTCACTAGACTTGGAGCCAAGAAGCTGTGATTAATTGGAAATCAGGCAAGAGCTAAGAGGAGGACATAGAAGTAGGACATAGAAGCATTGTCCTTTGTAACAGGCACTGCCATCCAAGGTATGGGTGATTGAACTTTATTCTCTGCCATACATCTTGTTGATCAAATGCAAGACTAAGAGAAAAATAATCTATTGAAATAATTTTGCAAAGAATAATTTCACTGTTCCTGATATGGCATCTAAGGACACTCTTAAGTGAGAAGATAAAAGTGGAGTATTCTGCGGTTTCCTCTAAGCATCTTGTTAGCAAAACATATCTTTGAGGTTAGAAGTGATTGAACCAAAAAGTGGTGGAGTACTTATGTTTGTGGGCACTTTAGACACAAGAAGACTTTCTTTTTCTTTCTTTTTTTTTTTTTTTTTGGGTCCAGTCGTGGGACCTGAATTCTGGGCTTGGGCGCTGTCCCTCAGCTCTTCAGCTCAAGGCTCGCGCTCTACCACTTGAGCCACAACGCCACTTCCGGTTTTTTTCTTTTTGCTTATGTGGTGCTGAGGAATCAAACTCATGGCCTCAAGCATGCAAGGCAAGCGCTCCACCACTGAGCCACCTTCCCAGCCCAACACAAGAAGACTTTCAAGGTAAAAGAAAAACGGATATCCAAATATTTGTGATCACAGTTTCTTGGACTGGTTTTTTTGGAGACAAAGTTTTACATTACATTTTGTCCTGATTATCATCAATGTTGGGTTTTTATGGCAACCAAATGCAGGGGTGAAGTTTAATGGACTCCCGTGAACAAGTAAACAGCATGCTAAAAGAAATGGCAAATAATATTTAGTGAATTACTTTCACCAACTACTTTTCCAGAACAAAGAAGGAAATATATAACTCAAAATCAATTGATTTAAAAGTATGAAGAAAGAGTAGTGAAGAGAGATGAAAGAAAACATAGAGAATTGTTTTCTCTCCAGCAGAGTAATGGGTTCTTGATCTTTTCTATTGCATTCTATCTTCACAAGCTATCAAGTGTGGCTCAGGACTGCACTATCCAGTTCAGACAGAGAGAACTCACAGAAGGAAGATAACATTTGCAGCAGATAAAGTTGATTTATAACCTGAGGCAATCTATTTCTCTGTTCTAATTTCTCCCCTACTCCAAACTGCCCTCTTTGAATAATTTTGTTTGCTTGTCCCAAGACTTCCCTTCATTAACTGCTTAAAATTTTGAGAGGTCATATTCATACTCTCTAGAGATTGCTGTTTGGTTGTAATTTTTGTGTGATTTTTCACTGAATTTCAAAAGGTTGTGCAAGTGTGTTACAGTTAAATATGTCCATCTAATTGTCCAATGCTCCTGGATGAGATTCACTCCTATCATTGTCAACCAACTCCTTCTCCAAAATTTATTTCAGATTTACCACTTCCTTTATCACATGTGTACATTGATATTCTAGCTGTACTTGCCCCTTGTTCCATTTTTCATTCATTCTATGTATTTACTATTATTCCTCTCTGGCTTCAACTTCCTGATAATCATTCTGTTAAACTGTCTGTTAATAGTTTAAAAGGTTTATATACATTCCATGGAGTTTCAATCCTGCATATACTTGAACTTATGTCATCTTATATTTCCATAATTCATTCATCTGCTATAAGAATTCATAAGACTGGAGACATGAAGCACCTAGACATGATTTAATTCTCATCCATTTGGAAGATTAATCTTTAGTCAACAAGAAAGTTTAAAAATGGTTTAGAATGTATTCCAAACTACCAATTTTATAAATGGCTTTGTACAATGGTGTGTGATTATTTTGTTATACATGGGATAATATTTTCTACTACATTTAAGTTTTGGAAAAAAGAAAATTAAAATTTAATATTATAGAGGAATATGATAGAAATAAAAGACAGATTTTATGTTTGTCACATCTCTGATGAGTACCCATATTCAAGACTTACTATGTTAGACAGATAGGGAAAACATAAAATAACATATGATAAGGCAACTATTTGGGACTTTTTAAAATGTACCTTATTAAATAATGAAATTTACTTTATTAGGTAACGTTTGGGTTTGAAATATGGGAGGCTGAGATATTTAACAAATTTTGAAAGACACCTAATGAATAACACAAACGGTGGGTGGTACTATTTCTACAGTTTAATGAATGGTTGAACCTGATTGGCATTAGTGCTCGGTAAGTAAATCAACTCTACTGTAACTCTATTGTAACTCTATTGCCACTAAGTATCATCTATTTGTCAAATGTTATTTTGGTGAATGTGATTTTTTTTGGTAGGTCGTGGGGCTTGAACTCTGGGCTTGGGCACTGTCCCTGTGCTGTTCAGCTCAAGGGGAGCACTTTACCACTTGAGCCACAGTGCCACTTCTGATATTTGAGTGGTTTATTGGAGATAAGAGTCTAACCGACTTTCCTGCCCGGGCTGGCTTTGAACCGTGATCCTCAGATCTCAGCCTCCTGAGTATTTAGGATTACATGCATGAGCCACTAGCACCTGGTTTGCGAATTTGATGTTTCAAAGTTTATTTGAAAAAGAATACACTTTCAGGAGATTAAATATTTTGAGAATGACAACATTTTTATACCACAGAACCAAGTTTTACTGAAGTACCTGTGTATTTTTTTATTGTGAAAATACTGTACACAGGGGTTACAATTACATGGACAAGATAATGAGTGCATTTCTTATCAAGCTTTGTAGCCTCCTCCTTTGTTTCCCCTTCCCATCCCTTCGCATCCTCCCCCTGCTCCCCCGACACGATCCTCCCCACCACCACCCCCCCCGGACCAAAGTTGTAAAGTTTGTTTTTGACATGGCAACTTGTACATCTCACAGTGTTATTCAGCAATAAGGATCTTCTCAATTAATGGTTTTTTTGTGAATTACATTTGACCTCTAAGTCAAGTTTTCCTGGCCTTTATAGACCAATTGGGGATCTATCCTTCCAGGAGCTATTTTTCTGGCCCACTTATGCTGGACTGAAATTGTTCATTAATCATTAGGGGAGGGGTATTAAAAATAATCTTGTGACACTTTGTGATCTTGTTCACTCATATGGGCTGGTCATTTGTAAATTGAAAGTTTGAATTGCAGTACTTTCTCTTAGATTTTGTGATCTCATCCTTCATTTTAAGTTGACTTGCATTTCACTATTGCTTACTGCTAATTCCTGCTTCTCAAGGAATTGAGGCCCTGAAATATTATAGGAAATGAGAAATTGACATGGATCTTCAATTACTTTCTATTGGCAGGTTGCCTGGGCCTAGTAGAGAAGTCTTGACCCTGTTATCTGATGATGTGGGTAACTGGGACATGGGATCCTAGAACCCATACATTTTGCAGAAGATAAATATCTTGCATACATGATATCAGAAAAATTTGCGTATAATCAATAGGTATGCTTCAGAAATATGGAGAAAAACAGTTTGGAACCAGCGAGTTAAAACAATAAACAGAGCAGCAGAGTAAAATCCTTTATAGTTTAGAGGAAAACAACATTTTTTTTTACCATGTGAATTCAGAAGAACAAGAACACTTAGAAGTGTTCTTTTGATACTTTTCATATTCTCATATGTATTCTAAACCTAATTATTTATATTCCAATTCTCTTTATTGGAATAAATAATTATCAATTTATTTGTCAAATTATCAATTTATTTTATTAAGGTTCACTGTGTGAAATATGAAATCAGCACATATAAATATAAAATATCTAACTATATATAATATAATAAAAAGGGCACATGTTTTGCATTGTTCTGTTGTGGTTAGGGTATCAAAGACAACTCTGTTTTAAAGTATTATTGCATTATCTGTACCTCAGTGTTAGGTAGAGTTAGACCTAAAGCTTTAACATTTGTAGAGGCAAGAGGAAACACTGTGATTAAAACATTACCAATTTAAGGCCTAATAATGAGGAGAAACATGGACTTCTCCTGGAGCTATGGAAATATTTGGTGATAGAAAGTCAGTAGTGTAAGTTCCTGCCTGGTTGGAAGGTAGACAGGCCAGACATCAGGAAATCATGCATATGAAGAATTTTTTCACCTTGGCGTTAACCTACTTTTGAAATGGTAGGTATAATAAACACTTAAATTTTGATAAAATACCTTCTAGTCTGAACAGTTCTGTCCGAAATGTTCATCTCTCTATGATCCCTTGTAACTAAGATTAGTTTTGTTCCAGTAAGACAATCTATGCTGTCAGGGTAGGATATTCTGGTTCGTCTGTTCCTACATGGAAGAAGGATAAAGGGTCAGGTAGACATTTGTGCCAGTAAGACCTCATTTGGGAAAATTTAAGCTGGAGAAGTTTAGAAGTAGCTCTTAAGCAAGGCTTACTTTGAAACTATTAGCTCCACAAAGCTAACTCAGTTACATAAATAAGTACTTGAAAAAGCCATCACCTTAGGACCTAGCTATAAGTGCTTCAAAGTATGATCAAATCTAAAATGAAAAAGCCTTAAAATTGTCATTGACAAAAAACACAAATGAGAGCAATTGACTGAACAATATAATTTTTTTCCACTATACACATTATTTTAGGGAAATAAGATCAATAGTATTGTTAGGAACAATAAGGTTTCCTTGCTACAAATAGGCACCCAAGGATATAAGCCTGTATAAAGATTGCATCATTAATTACTTAAATTTAGAGGATACTACCTGCTTCAGTAGTACGTATACCCAAATTACAACAATACAGAGATTAACATGACACTTGCACAAGGATAATATGGAAATATGTGAAGTATTCCATATTTTTCATTCTTCAGTTGCAGAAATGAAAAACAGTTATTAAGAAGTTGATTCCAAAATTACAAACGTAACAATATATGCAAGTGTTAGAATTAAACATTAGTTTGACATCAGCGTATTAAATCTTCACCTTAGAAAGGCCTTTACATAGAATAACCTTTACAAAACTTTTGAAATTAGTTAACATTGTCATTTTATCCCAAAGAAACATACTACTATAAGAACCTAGAAAAAGGGACTGGGAAGGTGGCTCAGTGGTAGAGAGCTTGCCTTGCATGCTTGAGGCCCTGTGTTCGATTCCTCAGCACAACATAAGCAAAAAAAAGCCAGAAGTGGCGCTGTGGCTCAAGTGGTAGAGTGCTAGCCTTGAGCTGAAGAGCTGAGGTACAGCATCCAGGCCCAGAGTTCAGGCCCACGACTGGACCAAAAAACAAAAACAAAAACAAGAACCTAGAAAAAAGTAATCTTAAATTTTCTATATGGAATGCAATCTGAAAGGACACATTTATTAATAAATATATATATTATAAAACAATGTTGAATTCAAAGTATATCTAGGAAAGAATGAAATAGATTATGGATATTATGCAAACACAGAATATAGAATATTTTAAAATATACTTTTTTCAGAAAAGAACCAGAAATATCTTTAGTTTCTGTACCACTCATTTCAACAGATAAGATCAAATTATTTCTGATTAAAAAATCTTAAACTGTGCAGAAATCATTACAGATGTACACAAACAACTCACATTTTGACATCAAAGCCAGGCAATTCACTTGGAAAAATTCCACGGAATTTTTACATTAAGATATTGCTGTTATTTGGATTGTGAAAATATTTTGTATGGACACAAAGAATGGACTGGCATTTTGATGTTTAAGAAACGTAACTGATATCTTAACTATGCTAAATAATGCTGCAATGAACATAGTTGTTCTGGTAGCTTTAGTATGGTCTTGTTTGATGCCTCTAAGTAGATGAATGGATTAAGAAAATAGAATCCTATGGAATGGAATTTTATGCCTCCCTCAGAAAGAATGACATTGCCCCATTTGTTAGGAAATGGAAAGACTTGGAAAACAATATATTAAGTGAAGTAAGCCAGGCCCAAAGAAACGTATATCCTATGGTTTCCCTTATTTGCAATAACTAGTATATGTCTGAGACAAGCAGAAATGGTCAGATAAGTTGATGTTAGGTGAAATGAACCCCAAGATAAGGATTCGAATGTTTTTTTTTCTTTCTTGCAATTGTTTCTAACATATTTATAAGATGATTTCTTTGTTGCTTTGTATGTCCCTCTACCACCGTATAACCCCCGCTTTAATTGTATTTGGTGTTGGTATGATTTGTGGAGGGGAAGGAAAAAAACAAATTGTTTAAATAGGGATACAGGTTGACCCATTGCAACAATGAGATATACAAGATGTCATGTAGAAAAACGAACTTTACAACTTTGGCCAGGGGGAGGGTTAGTGAGGGGGGAGGGGAGTAGGGGGAAGATGAGAAGTTATGGGAAGGGGAAATAAAGGAGGAGCCAACAATGCTTGGTAAGAAATGTACTCATTACCTTGCCCATGTAATTTTAACCCCTCTGTATGGTGTTTTCACAGTAAAATAATAAAATTCAACAAAAAAAAGATAAAAGAAAAGAAACTTATCCGAAACATTACAATTTAATAGAACAATTTGTACAGCCTTCCACAACTTCAAAGAGGTAGTGATGCATACTTATCCTTTTGGTAATATCAAAGGCAGTTTCTTCCAAGTTGTTCTTCAGACCTGGTTTGATATAATGTTTCAAGAGAAGGAGATCCAGTGTATTTTTGCTATCTATATTCCCAGGAGCAAGATGCAAGGGAGTCAAGAGGCGTTTAGTTTGGGCATTGGTATCTGCATCATGATGAAGTAAGAAAGACACCACACTGGTATTATTACACGAGTAAACACTGCACAGGTGTGTCCAGCCATTAACAATTTTTGCATGAATATCTGCTGCTTGAGCCACCAACTCATGGACAATGTATAAGTGTCCACTGTAGGCTTCCCGATGAAGAGGGGTATATTCATTGTCATCCCTAGTATTCACATGAGTGGCCTTTATGGAAGGTAGTCAGAACACTCTACTAAGCCGATTATTTTCAGCAGCTCAAAGAAGAAATTTGCTTGATCCTACTCCATTTTTTTTCTTGCAATTTATACGATTTCTCACTTTTTCATTTTGTTACTCATCGTCATGACTAGAGACTTTCAGTGCCAGTGGGAATAAGGTGTCCATGTATTTCCCCAATATTTCATATTTTTTGAACTTGTGGGAAAAATACAGTGAATTTTCTGCATCTTTTTTTTCATGATGATTTATTTTCTCTTTTTACATTTTTATTATTCTAAATCATTCTAACTGGAAAGTTGGGAATTGATGGAGAGCCGAGGAAAGATGTTCCTCCGTATTCAAATGTACAGACTGAAAATGAGGATCACTGTTGTCTTCATGTGCAGCTTCTTCCAGGAATGAGAAAATAGAAGGTGGCTCAGGGGTAGAGTGTTTGCCTAGCATGTACGAGCAATGGCAGGTCATGTCCACTTTGCAGCCTTGTCATTCAGACCCACGGTGCAAAGAAAAAGACGTAATACCCCAGCCCTCTGAAGCTTGCCACTTTTTGTGGTATCCTGCTTTATTTCTTCCTGCAAACCCTCAGGGCCTAGGATCCCAGGATCGGGTATGGGTCCAGAGACTGCATCACAGCCTAGGGTGATGGAAGCTGAGTCAGAGTTGCCACAACCTGAGTTCAAGCCCCGTGGTTGGCAAAATAAAGAATAAATAAAACAATTAATTAACTATTTAACTAAATTAAAAAGAAATAAACCTCTCTAGTTTGGAATTTCTGCCAGTTTCCTTCCTTAGCCTGGGATTTGAACTCAGGGTCTTGGTAAATCTGTAGCAATGTGAGGGTAGGTGCAGAGTTGCCACTACTTGAGTTCAAACCCCGTGCCAGCCAAAAATAAAAAAAAAGTCACTGAGCTCTGCAGGGGGAGTAGTTGTGGAGATGGGAGGGAAGGGATGGTAGGGGGAAAACAAACAAAGAGGAGGCAAAAATGCTCAATAGGAAATGAACTCATGACCTTGCTCATGTAACTGTGATCCCTCTGTACAACATTTTTTGCAATAAAAATGTACAAAAAAAGAAACAATGTAGTGCTCAGAGAAGCACTTTGGAGGTAAGGTAAGGATGTCTGAAAAGCTGTACAAAATTCTACAGTTCTTTTTAAAAAAATGCTCTTTATGGAACTTAATGAACATAACTGCTTTCATTAAAAAAATTAAGCCACTGTCATGGAACTGGGGCCAGTATTTCTGTAATTGCTGCGATTTGATCTCACCCTCCAGGTAACTCTTTTGCACCATGGGTGAAGGGGAAGCTTACTGTCTTTGAGGAAAAAAATTCAGGCTAGAGTTCTGAGGCCCCAAATGAATGCCCTGCAATGGAAAAAAATATTTCTATACATGTGTAATATATGATATATACTTACATATGTATGTTTATTACATATTATTTTTATTATTGATTTTGTATTTTATTTTTTATTTGATTCATTTATTTATTGTTTATTGTATTTAGTATTACTGTACACATAATATTTAGTACATGTTTTACATCTATTATAAAATGATTCACAATAATTTAGGACATTGACTCATTTTCATTTATACTTTATTAAGTTTTGAAACATGATACATAATTAAATGGAAGCATTTGTTACAGTCTTCACATGTTTAGAGTCTCTCCCACAGATGAGTTTTGTCTTCTTTATCTTTGGACACCTTCCTATAGGGATTTCGTTAGATGATTTATAATCAGAGGCCTTTTCTTGAGGATAGGCAAGTTGAGGAATAAAATTGTAAGGGTGGGGCTAGAATTGTGACTTAGTGGTAAGGAGCTTGCTCAGCATGCATGAATCCCATGGTTTGAATCCTCAGTACCACATACTTAGAAAAACTCAGAAGCTGTGGAGTGGCTCAAGTGGTAGATCTCTATTCTTGAGAAAAAGAAGCTCAGAGACAGTACCCAGGCCATAAGATCAAGCCCCAGGACTTTCAAAAATAAAAGGCCAGATTCTGGTGGCTCACATCTGGAAAAGTAGGAAAGCCTGTTAGACTCTTATCTCCAATGAACCACCAAAAGACACTGTGGCTCAATTGGTAGTGTTTGCCTTGAGCTGAAGGGCTCAGGGACAGTGCCCAGGCTTGAGTTCGAGACACACAACTGGAAAAAAGTGAGGGTTAATCAAAGTATTTTTCCTATTTGCTAATTAAGAGAATGTTCTCTGGAAAATGAATGCTGATGTATACCAGAATTGGAGTCAGAGCTCAAGGTTCAAGTTTAGTAGATCCATATGCCCAGCCTCTGAGACTCTAGCATTATAACCTTGTGTGCTACAGGGTTCTGAAAGAGTTAATATGCTCCCCAAGCCCTTTGTGATAAGCAGTTGACTTGTACTGAAAATGTCATTACAGTTCTGAACCTAGCAGAGAATCAGTTGCTCACGCCCATCACCCTAGCTTAGGAGGCTGAGGTCTCAGGATCACAGGGTAAAGTCAGCCAGAGTAGGAAAGACTATGACACTCTGACTTCCACTTCTGAAAGGTCAGATGTTCAAGAGCTTCCTGGGTTTCCCTTGGTGATGAGAATTTACTTGCACTCTAAATGTTCTTACAGTTCTCAAGCTATAGAAGCAGGAAAGAAACATTATTGACCCATCCTGGGTTCAAATTAAGTTCTCATGGTCCAAGCCCTAGCCCTGTTAGCAGGAAGAACTCCACTGTATCACTGTATTTGAAGGACAGAAAATAGTTGCAAAAGCCAGGCTGGGTGAAGAGACCAAGGCCTGCAGGATTAGGAGGCAGAAAAGACACACTCAACAGGAAAGTGAGCTGCAAAACCACTTATTCATTCCAGGCACAACCAGCAACGGGGGGGGGGGGGGGGGGGGACTTCAAACAT